ACTATCTATCTATGTCAGACTATCTATGTTAAGTTATTTGTCAGACTATCTGAGCTAATTGCTATATATGTTACTTGCTACTTCCAACTATGTCACTACTGTCAGTTATCACACATGATATAAGCAGAGTAAAACAACCTCATCATAGATAAAACATTCTTACTTACTTAACTTAGCATGAGTACTTAGCATAGTAGGTCTTAACATAATAGTCATTACATCATAGATAAAACCAAGTAGTTCTTAAACCATAGCAATACCTCCCTCCCTCATACCATTCTGAAAGCACATGAAACTTTCCCAAAATATACACCTAACATGCATGACATTCCAAGGTCAGCTATATATATAGGCCTACTAATTACTTAACCCACAAACCAACCACTTCACTCATTCATAATTGCCTTGATCCTCTCCAGCTTAGCTTTGCTGTCATGCCCAGCATTGAGCAGATCAGCAATAAGATACTCTAACTTCTTCTTCTCTTGCTTAAGTAGGTCCCTGTCCCCCTCCACTTCCTTCATGGCCTTCCTCATGTTCTGAATGATCTCTGCTTGGCTTTGAAGAATGCACCTTTGCTCCTTGGCAAGCTTCAGCTTTTCCATACTTAACTCAATCTTTGCCTGATCCTCAAGTTGTTTCTTCTTCTCAGCTAGTTCATTGATTGCCTGACTGGTATAGTCCATGTCATGAGACATCTTGCCATCTTGATAGTCAAATAGGTTGGATACATCTTCCACCAACTGGCTGTAGTTGTTTGACAGGAAATCAATTTCCTTCTGTAGCTTGGCCACCTCTTTCTCATGGGCTTGTTTGTCATTCACCCTGCCCAAGTTCTGCTCATGATACATGTCTCAAATCCTGGTTAGGCACCTTTGTAGAATCTCTGGCCAAGGACCATCCACCCACTCCACAACCCCACAGTTCACACCTTCATCCTATAGAAGCAATTATTTATAATTAAGCACAAAGCACTTAGTAACAAACTTAGTACAGAAACCAAAAGTCATAAAGTCATTTCATTTAACTGAAACCCTTTGTTTACATCAATATGCACCTGACTTAGCATCAGAGATAAATTCAGTTAACAGCTACATTTAGCAACAGAGATAAATTCAGTTAACAACTACATTTAGCAGTAGATATAAATTCATTTAACTCTGTTCTTTTTCAGTTAACACCTACTCTGTTCTTTTTCAGTTAACACCTACTCTGTTCTTTTTCAGTTAACACCTACTCTGTTCTTTTTCAGTTAACACCTACTCTGTTCTTTTTCAGTTAACACCTACTCTGTTCTTTTTCAGTTAACAACTATATTCTCAGGTTCATAATACACTAAAGATATCTGCTTGTAGGTGTTATCAGGTTCAGTCATGTATTGAATTCAGTTAACTAAAGATCTACTTTCATATATAGCTTCCACATGCTGCAGCACACATCTCTGCACCACATGCTGCACCACACATCTCACATCTCCAGCAGCAAAACACATCACACATCTCCAACAGCAAAACAAGTTAGCGTTCAAGATTTAATACCTGCTGCACAGGACAACCCAGGAATCGCCTCCCAGTCAAAGCACCTTCAAAAGCCACCATCTTCTTCGGCCTCTGATGATGCATCATGCACGTCGGCTCAGATTCAGTGTAAGAACCACAGAAAGATGGTTCCACCACAGTGTCAGGGGTTTCCTGCAAAAGAAACTTCGAATCAAACCAAAAGCAAATTGGAATCTCCAATTTGGATGAACTAACCCTAACCCTAACTCTGTTCCACCATTATGCACTTACAAATAGATGCTGATCCAATGAAACCATGTTGATGTCCTCGTCCGAGCTGTCCTCGTCATACCAGGATGGCATCCTCACCTTCGACCGGCAGCAATGGCCGCGGCGGCGACGGCGATAGGCTGACCTAGGTCAGAGGACCAGGGAGAGGGAGAGGGAGAGGATGGAGTGAGGACGAGTGAGAGCGAGCGAGGAGGAGGAGAATGAGCGGCTGAGCTCGCTCTCACTTATTGGCCCACCGACAGGCGCCGTTCCGACAGCGGACGGGCCGTTAACGGTCGTCAACGCGCGCCGGCCGTCCGTTCACCAGCGTGGCGACTGATTCGCGGGCCCAACCGGTCAGAAACGGGGTTAGCGCGGGCGAAGCGAGCGATTTTCCGAGTTGGTAGTTTTTTGCCACGGTTTAGTCCAAATTTGATAGTTTTTCGCAAAAAAACGTAGAGTGGTAGTTTCCTGTCACGTTTCCGGCAAATGTGGTAGTTTTTGGTTAAATACTCGGATATAGAGGATAGTCTTACATTGGAGGTGTCTGACTTTAATGGTGAGCGGTAGAAACTTGATCCACGGTGAAGACTTTGATGCGCGCCGAATTCGAAATCCGAAATCCACGATCAGCCTTGCGCTGTCTGCACCGCGACAATCATCCATCCATCCACATGTTTGCAGCCAGCCTTCGACAAGCGCGCACACACACACACACACATATGTTGGGGATTTATGAGCAACGGTGCCAAGACACGCGAGGACCGCCGGCCGTCCAATCGCCGGCCCGGATCGGGCGGGCCCCGGGCCCTCGCGGGCGCGCTGGCGCTGCCGGCACATGCAGGACGCCGCTGATCACACACATGCGTCGCCTGCTGCATGTCTTGGCGCGTACCGGAGCGGCACAGAACGGACAATAGGAGTGCGCGAGCGGGGAGAGGTAGCGCCAAGCCGAGTGCCGGAGTACGGCGCCGTCGTGCCCCCGCCCCCCGTCGACGTCGCGCTCGGGCGCCGCAGAGGCTGTCGCATGTTGTTACTGCTCTGTCTGCCCGCGGAGGTGGGCGCGGCAGCGGCATGCATGGCCCCGGCAGCCTCGGATGTACTTGTACGCATGCACGTACGATCGAGGCCCGTCGGTCGCCGCAGGAGCAGAAGGTGGAAGGAGAGGAGACGCCGGTCGCGCCACCACGTCCACGTACGTACGTACGTACCGCCATTGCAAAGCTAAGTAGTGCTGACATCCAGATCACAAACCACGGTACGCAGATGGCATAGCCAGCCGCGTCTCTGACATCTGCCTGCCTGCTCGTGCATTTTCACGTGGCATTTCCCTTCTCAAAATTTACTGTCACGTACACCCAACGTTATTTCGAGTTTTACTACACCGTCGCATGCAAAGACTTTGGGGCGTTCGGTTCTGTAGCTAGCTAGCGTCCGTTCAAAAAGCGGGCGAATAATTGTCATTTCAAAATGCTGCACAAATAAAGAAAAAGGAGGCAGCAGCAAAGATGGACTCCACATGCCATGGCCAATCATGCTCCCACGACACTTTCACACGTACTCGTATATCTCTTGCCAGTTGCAATGTGTCACCCATTATCATCGCCTATCCTGAACCAAAGACCTAAAAAGAGCAAGCAAACAAGCAGCATGTCGCTCAGAGGTCTTGTTTCCTGGCTCCCATCATCAAATGAATCCATTTCTCGGGGTAGCGTCTGGTTGTAGCATTATAATATGATTATACGTGTGACTGACTTTTAATAAAACAAATGAAAACAACAACACTAGACTAGTAGTAGACAGTAGTAGGAAAGAAGAGCTCCGTTTTGTTTCTAGACTAGGCTAGAGTAATGCCTGCAAGTGCAAGCTTGGCACTAAGAGAGAGCCCACAATGTATTTTTATTTATAGCTCGCCACAAATGTGTGGCTCACGCACTGCCAAACAAGGAAACAACCTGTGGTCGGCCTGATTAGGTTTGGTGATGCGTGGGTTATTTTAACCTGTTCAGGCATGCAGAAAGGAAGTGGTTAGCTAGGCTAGGCTGCTAGGGCAACTGGTGTTTCTGATAAACATGCATCGCATGCATGCTCTCCTCCTCAGATAGCTAGCACTTGGCCAAATTCCATTTATAAAATCAGACGAGACGATCTCTCCCGTGTACTACTCCTACGTACTAATAATAATACCAGAAAAAGAAGAAAGGTGAAAAGAAATAAATAAGGGCCTCTTTGGATCGAAGGATTTTCATAGAAATATTGGAGGATTCCAATTCATTGGATTTTTTCCTAAAGAAGCCCTTTGGATCAAAGGAACCACACCTCCAAAATTCCTATGGATGCATTCCTACACCTCAATCCTATAGGAATTTCAACATCCACTATAACCTCTTTTTTACATTGATTCGCGTAGGATCGAGGCACTTTTCCTGTGTTTTTCCTGTGTTCCATCCAAATGACCATTCTTGTAGTTTTCCTCTATTTTGTAATCCTCTGTTTTGTACCTACAATCCCATCAAATTCCTGTGTTTTTTGAATTCCTTTGTTTTCTAATCCTGTGATCCAAAGAAGCCCTAAAGGGCGATACAATGGTAGGAGTAGTAGCTCAAACCAAACCAAACCCCCAATAATTGTAGCACGACCCTTCCATGGCAGTGTTAAAGGCGAACATGGCCCGTCGCCATGCCTGTCAGGGATTGAATGGCTGCAACCCCAGCGACACAAATCATCTCTCTCTCCCTCGGTGCAAGTACTTGTACTGACAACTCCCCCGCTTGCTTGTATTGTTGCCCCATATCTTTGTTGCTCGTGCTACCCTCCCTGGACATTGGACGAGCTCCAGTGCTCCGTCTCTCTCCGCCATTGCTGCCGCGTCTGCGCTGTTTTTATTTGACATCTTTTGTTTGGTGCGCAATTAACCCCGCAGATCCAGCGGTGGCTAGCCACTAGGTTGTAGCCTAGAGACGGTACTGCTAGGCTCGCCCTGCAAAACAACAGCCTCAGCAGCTCGGAATGAGAGGGACAGGGGAGAGGGCGAGGGGCGAGGCTGAACCCCAACACACAAGCTCCAGACAGCGACCGGAGTTGCTTGTGTGGGTATGTGGGAGATGAAAGGGAGAGCTCGGACATAACTAGGGAGCTAGCTACTAGGCCTACCGGAGCTAAGCTGAGGCTGGCTTGCGCTGTACGTGTCCTCCGCGCGGCAGGGCCGGCTACGTGAGTGCGCATCGCGGCATGGACTGGGATCTCAAGATGCCGCCCGGCGCCTGGGACCTCACCGAGCTGGAGAACGACGCGGCCGCTGCGCCGGCGGCTGCCCAGGCGTCGGCCGGCGGCATTGCTAATGCGGCCGGCCGGCCGGAGTGCTCCGTGGACCTGAAGCTCGGCGGGCTCGGCGAGTGCGGCGCTGCTCCGGACAGCCGCGGCCTCGGCAAAGCGCCGGCCGAGGCGGCGTCCTCGGCGTCGGCGCCCAGCGCGGCGAAGCGGCCGCGCGCGTCGTCGGGAGGGGGAGGTTGGAGCGGCGCGGGGCAGCAGCAGTGTCCGTCGTGCGCGGTGGACGGGTGTAGGGCGGACCTGAGCAAGTGCCGCGACTACCATCGCCGGCACAAGGTGTGCGAGGCGCACTCCAAGACCCCCGTCGTCACCGTCGCCGGCCGCGAGATGCGCTTCTGCCAACAGTGCAGCAGGTAATTATTTCACCCGCCAATTCCAACCAAGTACGCTACTTAAATCAAATCGTAGCTCTTCTTTTTCTTTTTTGCGTATCATTCTCTTCGCTCATCCATTCCTTCATCGTCCATCCATCAATCAATGATCAATACACTACCGTCACATTATTACTAGTTTGTTTTTTCCTCTCTTTTTTTTTTCTTTGTTTGAGCACAATTCGGCCTGTCTCGTATCGAGGATGCACTTCTTTACCTTTCCCGGCATCATGCCTGGCCTCTCATTTGCTCCTGTCACCCTTTATCATGGCAGCTTGTGTTACCTGAATTATTGCAACGCTTTTTCTTTCCGTTTTTTTTTCCTACTACCGCTTTTACGCTGCTCAGAGCTTGTTGGACTGCACCAATTTGCTCCTCCATCAATTCCTATCAGCACAGCTTTTGCACTGCTCTGAATCGCCTCACCACCTTTTCTGAATCCTGGCCCCATTCATGAGAATTCAGCACTGCACAAAAAGCTACATTTGCTCTCCATCTGCCAAAGATCAAGATCACATCCACACAGGCACCCAATGATCATCAATCGATCAGCCTACTGAATCTGTTTGATTTGCAGTTGACGAGTTAAATCTGTTCCGTGTTAATCGGAGTTGTTTTTCTCGGTGCGCGACTGTTCTGATATCGATTTCAGCAACGTGCCGCCTCGTGATCGATGATAACCCGGACGGACAGACGGACGCCTGATATGATTTGCCCGCGCCTCCTTTTCCATGTGCATTGTTCTGCTTTTTCCTGTGGATTTCCTGGCCGCGACAGCATGTTTTGTGTGGGTCTGGGACTGTCAATTACTTAAGCATGGCAGGTATATCCGGCCTGCTTCATTCATCACGCGGCAAGAACAGCCCTCTGTTTCAAAGGAAAGGGCGATGCTAACTCCCAAACCTAGAAAGTTTATAGTACCACTACACAAGTGCTTACTCTGCAAAATGCAGTGTGGACTTTGTGGACTGTGGAGTGTGGATGACTCGAGCCATTTCTGTACGATATAGGAGGAGGACCATGCGTGCATGTTCACAGATACATGTATATTTTCTAAGGCTGGCCAGGCTTGCAACCAGCCGAGGGCCTGAAAGTTGTTCATGTTTTAGTTTCATTAAATATTAAAAGGCGACACCAACCCATATAGCGTGATCTAGTGATTCGGTTGATGAGCATGAGAAAAATGAGATCTCTAGGCTCTTTCATCCTGATCAGTTTGGACTTTGGACTTCATGGGAGCCCTTATCACAAGTTCTTTTAATTAAGATAAACAATTTCTTGAATGTGAAGGCGTCAAATCCTACTTATCATGTTAATGTTTCATGGTCTATGTTGTGGGGATAGCATTTCTAGGTCATTTAAGTATCGTGCGGTCGTCATCAGAAAAGAAAAAGAAGGGTATTATATCGTGATAATATCTCAAACGTTAGTGTCAGAGAAATAACATATGATAATTTGCTTGTTTCAGGTGCTTTGGGACCACTTGACTCTGTTTTTGTCTGAGTTGCACTTCTGCAATTATCCTTCTAGGATAGCTTCCCTGTATTTGCTTTCATGCATTAGCCAGAAGACTGAGATAATCACATTCTATGAGCAGAAGTAATTGGATCAAATTTTTCACATTTTTTGTGTAAGGAAAAATAACAGAGATTCAGTTCTCCATTTTTCAAATGTAGAATCGATAGTCTTACTGTTTATCCTCTACTCGGAACCTGAACCATCTATAGTATTGTTATTTCGGGTTGTAGTCTCTTGCATTATTTCTTACATTTGCAATATTTTTGTATCTTGGTCCACTTTAAAGTACAGTTGTGTTTATTCTCATTTTAATCTTGCTGAGCATATCAGGTGATTCTATGGACTTCTACCTTTATACCTTTATAACTTCGTAGGCTGCTAATGTGTTCCTCGTCATGTTATTGCCTTGATACATGAATATCTTACCCAGTGGGGACAGTTTCCAATCATTGATTGATCCGGCAGTTAGTGCAGACTTTATAAATTAAGTGCGCGCATTGCCCAGCAGACTTGCATCCTTCTAGACATACGGTTAACAGACACACTATACTGTGGTCCATGTTCAACTGGCATCGCAATATTTTTGTCTGCTGTTGACAAATCTCAGGTACAATATTTTTATCTAAGATGAAGGCTCCCAAGCACTGAAAGGAGTGATTGACAGATGAATTAAGTGGTCCCTTTGTGTACTGTATATTTTATATTCCAACAGTATGTGTGAAGAATATTAAGTATTCTGACATTATGTAGTTTGGTGATTTAGCGAGAGCATATTTTTATACTTCGAAACACGTGTCTAACTACCTAGGAGCATCTTATCTTGTTATAAAATCATCCTAGGACAAGGAATATCTTATTTAGTTTTCAACAAAGACTAGAAATATTGTCTCTTAAAACTTAAGAGCTAAGGAAATAACCTACATCCTATTTAAAATCTTAGTTGCTGCGTTCTTTAATAAAAAAGGGTGCATGACACCCCAGCATTACAGAAAGCGTCAAGAATAACAGTGTGTTGTTAGGTTTCGGATAAATGTTTTAAGTTATGGAACATTTGCCATCCTCGTTTTCTTAAATCCCCTTCAGATACTTGGGAGTTGATATGAGTATCTCTTTATTTTTTACAGGAAAATTCTTGAGGTATTGCTTAATAAGTATATGTAGCGGTAGCTATGTTTTTGAAAGTAGCTGGAAACACACAAAAATTGAGATGTTTGTAGACCAAATTTCAGCATGTTATTACAGTTTACTATTCAGCATTGCATTAGCTTAATTTCCTCATGTTGTGACCTGATATTAATCCTTCATGCATCAGCAATAATTTGTGTCTTGTCATGAACTTTATTACCTTAGGTTTCACCTGCTTACGGAGTTTGATGAGGCCAAACGCAGCTGTAGAAAGCGTCTTGATGGGCACAACCGTCGCCGCAGGAAACCGCAGCCAGATGTGATGAATTCTGCAAGTTTTATGACAAGTCAACAAGGTTACATTTTCACTACTGCTCTATATTTTAACAGCCCATACGTGATTGGAAATATTGAATTGTCTGTCAGGCATATTGTAAATCATGACTCACCTAGCATGTTGACCTATTGCATTGACCTTCTTCGGTACCTTGCAGCTTGTAACCCACCCTGTAGCCTGTTACTTCATGTTGCACATTTTTACCTTATTCAGCAATTTTCCTTCTATAAAATAGTCGCAAGTGGGATTAGTATTCATAACGAACAAGGATAGCACCTTAGTTTACCCATAAACCTACCTAATTAATTAAAGTAATATTAACGGAGGTTGGATGAAGTGTAAATAAATAGAGTAAAAGTTTTACTAGTTCATTAGGAAAAAAGCCACTCTTTACCTTCTTCACAATTAGTGCCCTAGTGCTTGAAGCAAGATGCTTCTAGGTTCTGTAAGATCATATAGATCCCTGCCAAGAGTAAATGTTTAACAAGCTACATGATCATATAGCTTGTTAAATACTACCTCTGTAACTTAATGTAAGACGTTTTTTGCAGTGCAAAATTTGAACTGCAAAAATGTCTTACATTAAGTAACAGAGGGAGTATCAATTTTCCATAATGCCTGAAGAAAGAATTTACTCATTCTATTTCCATATGTATCTGTAGCAGTTCCATTATCTTCTTACCACAACCAATTGACATTGTTGTGAAACCCAGGAACAAGGTTTTCATCATTTCCAACTCCAAGACCGGAGCAAAACTGGCCAGGGATCATTAAAACTGAGGAGAACCCCTATTACGCACATCAACTCCCTCTAGGCATCAGCAACAGGCAGCATTTTGGTGGCTCTGCGTCGACTTACGCCAAAGAAGGACGGCGATTTCCTTTCCTGCAGGAAGGCGAAATAAACTTTGCCACTGGTGTGGCACTTGAGCCTTCAGTGTGCCAACCGCTCCTCAAGACGGTAGCTCCTCCCGAGAGCAGCAGCAGCAGCAGCAAGATGTTCTCTGATGGGCTGACTCCAGTGCTGGACTCAGACTGTGCTCTCTCTCTTCTGTCAGCTCCGGCAAACTCCTCTGGTATCGATGTTGGCCCGATGGTCCAACAGACTGAACACATCCCCATTGCCCAGCCTCTGTTCTCCAACCTGCAATTCAGCAGCTCGTCCTGGTTCTCGCGCACCCAGGCTTCTACCGGTACCGTCTCAGCGACTGGATTTTCCTGCCCTGTGGGGGAAAATGAGCAACTGAACAATGTGCTAAGCTCGGACAACAATGACTTGAACTACAATGGGATATTTCATGTCGGCGGTGAAGGCTCGTCGGACGGCGCCCCGCCATCTCTGCCCTTCCCGTGGCAGTAGTTTTCAGTGGCTGTTCATGTGTTGCTTACAGTAGAGCTCGTCTCTTCTCCCTAGTGATCAACATTTGTTTCTGTTCAATCTGAATCATTCCTTTTCTTGTATTCATTTTACTTGCAAGCATTCGTGTGAACAAATTCAGCATAAATCAATTCCTCGAAATCTTTCTGCATGATGGTGTCAAGTGACAACTCTGGTGCTCACTGAAGATGTCGAGGATGAATTATATCTGCTCCATATTCCTATTTGACATGCAGAATCAGTCGAATAAATTTCAGAGCACCGACGTTCAACATTAAAATCCAGCCCTAGAAAAAAAATGAAACGAATCTAACGCCGGAGCAGCGGGCACTCACTGGTTCACGTCCATGGCGAATCCAACTTTCATGTTTTCTTTTTCACTCGGGACAAAAACCAACCGCCGGATTCGATTTCTTCCAAGGAAGAAGGAAATGTGCGGTGCTGCTTTATTCGAGAACATGAAATATGCGGTGCTGCTTACCCTGCCGGGTCGTAGCGTCACGTTCTTGACGCCAAGGGCACCGAGGCAGGTGGCAACAGGGGTTCCGGTCAACGATTTTGTCGATCCAGGCGGGTTTAGGACCGACGGATGTATCGCCGGCGACGTCCGCCGTCGGTTAGAGGGGGCACCCGAGATCTGATAAGAAACGAAGGACCGGCGGCTAGTCTCGTGGGCTTGTTCGTGTGACTATTCTCCCGGCGCCTGCAGTTTTGTGCCTTTCGTTTTTTCAAAACAAATTTTTTTAGCATCGGTACAGACACAAGCGCTCATATACACGCACATACACTCATCCATATAAACGCACACACGCACACCCTATCCCTATGAGCACCTTCAAGAGACTGAGCCGGCATATCATCTTGAGATTTATGAAGTCACCGTAGGCGCCTCGTCGTCGATGGGAACGTCTCCTTCCACTGAAAGTGCATCGCCGGAAATCCCAAAATAAATCCAGGAATAATGCGAGCACCAGGATTTGAACCCTGATGGGTTGGGGATACCACTGTCCACCTAACCAACTCAACCACAGGTTGATTCGCAAAACAATTTATTTTTTAAACTGTGCATCCAAATCATGTGCATTTCACCTTGCTATTGTCGCATTGAGAACTTAGACGAATTTCTTTCTGAAAAAAAATCAGAAATCAAGAAATAATTGAAAACCAAATAAGATCGACGATCAAAAAGTAAAAATTGAAACAAAAATGAAAAATAAGAAACAAAAAGCCATAAAGAACAAAAAAGGGAATCCGAAACAAGAACCCAAAAGCACATTTTGTGTTTTTTTTACTTTGCGACATGTGCAGTTGTGCTTAACATGAAAGCACAGTTGTGTTTTTCCACGTATCACAGTTGTGATTTTCACCTTTCAGAAAGCACATATATGTTTCACGAAAGCACACTGTGATTTTCACTTTAGCTTCGGTAAATCATAGTTCAACTGACGACTCCGGAGGGTACCTTGTACAGAGGGCTGGCTTCACCCCTTCGATATAGTAGCCGTTATGCCGTCTTCGTTGATGGTTCTTCTCCAACCAATGAGCATTCTCTGTCGAAGGTAATGCGCCGTCAGGCCTCGAGGAATGTGGACTACTCACCAGGTGGTGTGGTCGCCTAGGTAGGGTCAAGGACCCATCATTTGGAATCCACATAGGGGCCATCACCATCATAAGTAGGTCCATGGACCACGCTAGCATTCGGATGCATACATCAGGAGGTTCATCCGGACGGCTCTACGGCAATCGGGCGATCACGTGTCACTCGGCTGATGGACCACCACTCAGACGTAGAGGACAGGAGAGCGTCGTAGGAGCTGCAGCGACCGAGGAATCCTAAATCATCCACTAAATAGAGTTATAGCTACCGTTACATGTAACTGCTGTAGCAGAGGCTCATTACACTAGTAAATGTCTCATTCAATGACATTAATTGCCCCGGTGGCGTGGGAGACATGGGGCTGCAACGCACTCTATATAAGCCACACCACTCTTCATAGTCGGGCACGTTCAATCTCTGTAGCCATATCCATCAAATCAAAGCAAGCCTCAAGGCACGAGATGCAGAGCTTTTACCTCCGCCGAGAGGGCCTGAACTTGTCAAACACCGATTGTTATGATACGTCCCCGTCGTATCTACTTTTCCAAACACTGTTGCCATTGTTTTGGACTCTAACTTGCATGATTTGAATGGAACTAATCCGGACTGACGCTGTTTTCAGCAGAACTGCCATGGTGTTATTTTTGTGCAGAAATAAAAATTCTCGGAATGACCTGGAAATCCACGGAGCAACTTTTTGGAATTAATAAAAAAATAATGGCGAAAGAATCAACGTCTGGGGGGGGGCACACCCTGTCCACGAGGGTGGGGGGCGCCCCCCTTAGGGCGCGCCCCCTGCCTCGTGGGCCCCCTGAAGCTCCACCGACCTCAACTCCAACTTCATATATTCACGTTCGGGGAGAAAAAATCAGAGAGAAAGATTCATCGCGTTTTACCATACGGAGCCGCCGCCAAGCCCTAAACTCTCTTGGGAGGGCTGATCTGGAGTCCGTTCGGGGCTCCGGAGAGGGTGATTCATCGTCGTCGTCATCATCAACCATCCTCCATCACCAATTCCATGATGCTCACCGCCGTGCGTGAGTAATTCCATCATAGGCTTGCTGGACGGTGATGGGTTGGATGAGATTTACCATGTAATTAAGTTAGTTTTGTTAGGGTTTGATACCTAGTATTCACTATGTTCTGAGATTGATGTTGCTATGACTTTGCTATGCTTAATGCTTGTCACTAGGGCCCGAGTGCCATGATTTCAAATATGAACCTATTATGTTTTCATGAATATATGTGATTTCTTGATCCTATCTTGTAAGACTATAGTCACCTATTATGTGTTATGATCCGTTAACCCCGAAGTGACAATAATCAGGATACTTACTGGTGATGACCGTAGTTTGAGGAGTTCATGTATTCACTAAGTGTTAATGCTTTGGTCCGGTACTCTATTAAAAGGAGGTCTTAATATCCCTTAGTTTCCAATAGGACCCCGCTGCCACGGGAGGGTAGGACAAAAGATGTCATGCAAGTTCTTTTCCATAAGCACGTATGACTATATTTGGAATACATGCCTACATTACATTGATGAACTGGAGCTAGTTCTGTGTCACCTATGTTATAACAATTACATGAGGAATCGCATCCGACATAATTATCCATCACTGATCCAATGCCTACGAGCTTTTCACATATTGCTCTTTGCTTAGTTACTTTGTCGTTGCCACTGTTACAATTACTATAAAACTGGCCATTGTTACCATTACTTCCATATTACTTTGCTACTAAATACTTTGCTGCAGATACTAAGTTATCCAGGTGTGGTTGAATTGACAACTAAACTGCTAATACTTAAGAATATTATTTGACTCCCCTTGTGTCGAATCAATAGATTTGGGTTGAATACTCTACCCTCGAAAACTGTTGCGATCCCCTATACTTGTGGGTTATCAAGACTATTTTCTGGCGCCGTTGCCGAGGAGCATAGCTCTATTCTTTGAGTCACTTGGGATTTATATCTGCTGATCACTATGAGGAACTTGAAAGACCAAAGAACTAAGATTTATCCCTCAACTACGAGGGGAGGTAAGGAACTGCCATCTAGCTCTGCACTTGATTCTCCTTCTGTTTTGAGTAAGCTTGCGACACCTAAACCTGCTTCTGCTATTAATTCTGATATGTCGCATGTTATTGATGATGCCACTTCTGCTATGCATGATACTTATGATGAAACTACTTCCATGCGTGATACTACCGTGCCATTAGGTGAATTTCTTGATGAACAACTTGCTAGGGCCAGAGAGAATGAAATTATTGAAACTAATAATATTGATGAAAGTGATGATGAAGATTCTCCCCCTAGATATGAATTGCCCGTTGTGCCTGAGGGTTATGTTATGGATGAAGAAACTGCTGGAGATTTTCTTGCTTGCAATGATAGATCTGATATTAAGAAATTATTAGCTAAGTTCAAAGAAAAGTCTCTGAATGCTAGAATGAAATATGACCCTGCTTTTCCTACTTCACCTATATGTGTTACTGATAAGAATTATGATTTCTCTGTCGACCCTGAGATAATTACTTTGGTTAAATCTGATCCTTTTTATGGCTATGAATCTGAAACTGTTGTGGCACATCTTACTAAGTTAAATGATATAGCTACCCTATCCACTCATGATGAGAAAACTCGTTACTACTATATCCTTACATTATTTCCATTCTCATTAAAGGGTGATGGTAAAATATGTTTTAATTCTCTTGATCCTGGTTGTGTGCGTAGTCCCCAGGATATGATTTTTTACTTCTCTGCTAAATATTAGAGTCTCCCACAAGCTTGGGGGAGGCTTCTCCAATTACTTAATGCTTTGCCTGATCATCCTCTCAAGAAAAATGAAATACTTGATATCTTTTACAATGGACTAACCGATGCTTCTAGAGACCACCTGGATAGTTGTGCTGGTTGTGTTTTCAGGGAAAGAACATTTGATCAAGCTGAATTGTTATTGAATAATATGTTGACTAATGAAAACAATTGGACACTTCCTGAGCCAACTCCTAAGCCGACTCCTAAGCCAACTCCGAAGAAAAGAGGTGTTCTGTTTCTCAGTCCTAAAGATATGCAAGAGGCAAAGAAATCTATGACAGAAAAATGTATTAAAGCTGAAGATGTTAAGAATTTACCTCCTGTTGAAGAAATACATGGCCTTAATATACCGCCTATTGAAGAAACACATGGTCTTGATAACCCGACACAAGTAGTAAAGGTAAATTCTCTCTATAGATATGATAAAGTTGAAATCCCGTCTACTAAGTTTGCTAGCCAATGCTTGGACGAATTTGATGACTTTATGACTAAACAAGAAAATTTCAATGCTTATGTTGGTAGACAATTGAAAAGTAATGCTTATATGATTGTACACTTGAGTGATTATAT